GTAGCAGGAGTAGAAGTAGTAGTAGGAGTAGGAGTAGTAGTAGTAGTCGTAGCAGTAGTCGTAGTAGCAGCAGCTCGCAGTAGGGAGTCCAGGTGGGAGCAGCAGCAGCAGCAGGAGTAGTAGTAGTCGTCGTCGTGATGATGGTGGTGGTGCTGGTGGTGGTGGTGGGAGTAGTAGTAGCAGCACAATAGAACACTAAGCAAAGCTTAAATATCTTCCCAGCGCTCCAAGTTGGCGCATTACTCCCACCCTCTCAACAATTCATACAATGCACCTCCTCTGGGCTTGTGCACTGCCCCTTGAAAGGTTGTTTGGAGCAATGATTTCAAACAGATTCAATAAGGGTTGTTGAAAACGGTTTTCAGGTTCTAGTTCCGGGAATCAAGCAAAACCTCGGAAGAGGGCAGGCAGGGATCTGAAAGGGAAGCAATACAGCTGAACAATATTATTGATAAACCAGCCTCATTGTAAAGGAGCACCCTGGGCAAAAGACATGTGTTTTTGAATTCCGACCCACTAAACTACTGTCAGAGATGTAAGAATAATTTGGTGATTCTTGTAAATTCCCACCCGCTTGACTATTTCAGATTGAGCATTACTGCCAAACTGCAACACAGGCACTCAGTTACAGCAAGGGTGCCAGTGGCCCACCTCTCCATTCTCACGCCGGAGCATCACTGACTGCAGCCTTCAGAATCTGATAGCAAAACAAGCATCGGCATATGTGAGCCATCAGTTAGTGGTTTGCGCTGTTTCAATACGAGGTCGGGTTCTCTCAGGCAGCAACCTAATTTGGGGAAGATTGCACACGGTTCCGTGGCAAAAACTCTGAGGCCACTGCAACTTTTGAAGGGAAGCTCGGCCTGTGGAAGGGACGGGCAAGCATTGTAGCATGATCTAGTTCTAAGGTTCTCAGGCCAATATTTGTGGCCAAAGAAAGGTAGCATTCAATAGTAGTATGCTTCGAGCTCTATATAGTTACAAGATTACATACAAGATTACAATTGATACTTCAGTGTCAGGACATGATATCAAATGATGTGAGTGATGTGAGGTGTGCAATCGCCTTCGCTGCCCTGTGCGAAGTTCTCCCTGAACTCCTGGCTTGAGCTTCCAACTCAGCCCGCAAAGTGAGGCGGAGTGAGGCTGCATAGCGCAGTCACACGACACCGCAACACCCCATTCTAGTGAACAAACCTACTGTAGAATTTGTCTGTTGCTTCAGCGGGTCCAAGTTCTGGACATTCGGCTCGACATCATGTCCTTTCAGCTCTTAAGAGGATAGGGTAGTTGCTTGGCTATAGCTACACCCGCATGATCTGTTCCATTGTGTTCTAGCCTGCTGTCACCAAGGCCCTACAGGTACTTGTAGACTGAACCTGCTTCATCCCCCGTCTCGCCGCAACGCCTGAATGCTTCCAGCACAGTCAGGCTCCACCTCACGACAGTTAGTCGGACTTTATGCTGGAAATTTGGTGAGAAGCCTTCCTCGCAGTGATCTTGCTAAGACTGACTCTCGTCTCGAGCTCATTTCGGAACAGCTTTAATTGGGCACCGCAAAATGGCCTTCTAGGATACCGATCACATTGCCGTTCTGGTGACAACCCCCCTGTGGTGACCACTAGACAATGCATAAGGCTCCGGCAAACTCCAAGATTGAATGCAAATCATCCAAAGAGTTCCTTGAGTCATGAGGATGTCCAAGGATGTCCAAGGTGCATCCTCCCAAGTACCAACAAATCCACCTTTTGGGTGACCTCCTCGTCACCGTACTGCGACCGAACTTCTGTACAGTCAAGCAATCAAAACTCGTGAGGGTTTCCATTGGAGATTGTCTGAGTACATCTGAGTACACTACCTCCCAAGTCGTGGGTGTTGGATGGAATGCACCATGCTCGGAACGACTTGACCGTTGAGCTGACCGTTGAACCGATCTTGCTGGGACCTGGCCAAGTGGCTCGATGGGCGACCCAGTCAAAGCCAAGCGATACGGCACATGAGAAAGGCCTGAGATCAGCATAGACCCGAGTTCTACAAAACACTTGCAGCGCCAACCCGCCAGATTTCCTCAGCACCGTCACCTTTAGGGCCGCGACACGCGCGTTCCCTCGCCCGATCGACCGGGTGTTTTCATATCGAGCTCCAGGCGCTTGACGGCGTGGGCGGTTTGGGAACCGTGGTTCTTGATGGTCTGAGCCTCCACTCTCTGAGAGAGTATCAAGCTTCAATCATGCAGCGCCTTCCTTTTAGATGTTCAACCGCTGGAACTCACAGGCCTTACACCTCAGGTATAAGATGGTATAAGTATATTATACCATATTGATAGGACTCCAAAGGGATGGTACCAGTGGGCATAGAGTCTTAGAGCTTCTTGGTTGATCTTTTGCACGCTTGGCATCAGCCTGTGGCCGGGCCCTCCTTCCCTGCCTCATCCAAGACCACACAGCTCCAACCTGATGCGTCGCTCGGAATGGGCTCGAACCCAAACGATCAAGCTTGGATCTTGGATAAATGTGAAATCATTTGACATCTTATCTCATCAAATTACCAGCTGCCAAGCCAACAGCACCCGTAAGCCCGTACTGGGCATCAACACTCCAAGGCTGCACATGGCTACACAATGTCGATATTGTCTGTTGTCAGACTTGCTCATTTCTAGGTAGGGCTGAAAATCACTTGAGCGACACCAGGGCAGGTCCAGCGCAGTGAGTGCAGCTGATACATGCCAGGGTTTGCACAGTATGAGAGAACTGGACTGCAATAAAGCTGACTAGCCATCCCACTGTGATATCGACGTCGAATCTAAGTGCGCCAGGGCAGCTCTCTTGCAGGAACTTGTCTTGATTCTGCAGAAAGCTCTCCTAACAGTCCGGAAGATCAGGAGCAAACTTCCAATGTTCTGCTTTAAAGCCGAAGGGATCGGGGACCGGGTGGCCTTCCACTGTTTCACCGGGTGGCCTTCCACTCTGCGGCCTCTGCTCCCAAACCGCCCCCCCGTTGCGCTGAGATGGTGGGCGTAACTCGTTAGGACCACGTCGTAGAGCTGCACGATGGGACCTCGGCGACCACGAGATCTCGTCACCTCCCTGAGGCGGACCCATAGCCATAGCGGACCCATCAGAACCTAAGATCTGCTTCTTCCAGGGGCTAGGACGGGGGGGAACCTTGAAGCCTTGTGTTTGACACACATGCCGCAACTGGAAGCGACGCGAACCGAGGTGCAAGAACCGTTTTTGTACAGCACAAAGCTGAATTGAAGCCGTCTCAGAGCCTCACCCTTCCACTGGGCAGTGTTCACCTACAGGTCGCACTCAAGTGCCACTGCCTTCTACATCCATATGCGTGCAAAAGGTCTTGACTAAAAGCCCACATCTTTGCTACACAAGAAGTCCTCGCTTTGTTTTTGCTTAAGTCCCTCCATTAAACAATTCCTAAATTGCATTCTTTTTAAATCACTGTTTTGTTCCCCTCAAGAGGGCACAGTGTCTCGGACGATTCTCCTCCAGGCTTTAGCCCCTCTGCTGACTTGGGTGCCTCGTACTGCATATCGATGGCGCGCTCGCCATGCCACGTCCAGACCTGCCAAGGTCCACATGTGACTGTATAGATCAATCAGCTGTTGAGGCCTGGAGATGCCTGGAGTACAAAGGTCTCGATACATATTTACATCAAAAAAGGAAGATTTCAAGGCACGTGATGGAGACTGTGGGCATGGGAGACACATCAAGTGGCAGGCCTTGAGATCTTCCTGCCACTGTGCAGCGACCTGATCAAGGAGTGCAAGCAACTCAAGACAGATTTGATCTGTTCAATGGACATGGAGGGCGGTCCGGGTAAGCCAACCATTGGGAGTAGCATGAGCACTATGCTAGAAGATGCTACCATTCAACATATTCAATCCACGTTCAAATCCGCTTATCAACAAGTTCGTAAACATGAGGCATCGTGTCAAGCAAGCTTTGCTGCTAGGCGGCATAGTTGATGGCATGGACGACCAGTTTAGAGTAAGCGGCAAATGCACCCTTCTTTCCAGGTCCACCAACAAAACGCCGACTGCATGACACTCAAGTCGCTTGTCACTTGTGGCACACAAGTACAGTACTTCTGCAAGTCATGGTAGTCTTTCACGGACTTCAACTTCGATAAAACTGATGGCCCGACCTCTCTCAGCTCACGTTGCCAAACGCTCTGCTCACCTTGCTCCAGGCATGTCGGCACGTCGAAACGAACCGCTACTACTTAGTAAAGATCCCCCTTACTTAGAACACCTTCCGGTGAAAGTCACCATCTGTTTCGATGGTTTTGATGGCCGGAGGCGCTGTCACAACATCCCAAGTCTTAGACTGGCCGTTAGCCGTTGCACCGTCAATCCGAGTTTGAGCTGCCTCTCACCAGCATCGCGGGAGCCAGGACCTTGGAATCGGCAACATGGCTATGAGGACGTTCCGTGGCCCAGCATGTCGGCAAAGATTGGCAGGCGAAACGTCACAGCCAAATTCTGCCGGACAAATTCTGAAACCGAGCCACGAAACCCAGATGCACCCCCAACTCTGATCACCTCTCATGGACAAACGTCATCCAAACTGAGTGTCCAAACCAAGGCCCTTTGCCAGGCCGAACCCTTGAGGCTGGGGGCCTGAAGGGGCGAGAATCGCCCCACTGTGAATGGAGACTGCAAGCAAAGAGCCTGGGGAAGCTCCAATCAACATGGGCCCGCCAGTGCAGTCACCAACTGTGTTTGAGCATGTTTTAGCCAACAGGCTCCTTTATCAAAGGATTTTTAGCTTGGGCCACGACTGGCCGTTGAAACACCATGAAACTCTTCCCGTTCATGCTCTTTCCGTGCACTAGCCCTCAAGTCTCAGCATCATTGGCGAACAAACCACAATGATTCCACATGATGGAAGTCAAATAACATTGGGATCAGCAAACCTTGAGGTCGTCTGAGCGTCTTATGAGCAAGTAAAGAAACATAACCAGTCCGCAAACGCCCTGATGGTGGCTGCTTCGGCTGCTTCACCTCATCCGTTTTTCCTCCAAGCCAGTTTTTGCTGGGCACTCTGCGGCGCCCTTGGGGCACAGCATGTCCAAACTGAGGCTCCGCTCTCAATCACAATGTTCAGTGTCAATACGCATACATGTAGCCGAAACACCGGCTCTAAATGGGTCTCTTCAAAGCGCAGGTGGCTGACAGCATCTGGGAATCAGCAGCAACCTTGAGGGCTGTAAACCAATGTAATTAATGTAATGCAGCACGAACGACAATGGGACGTCGTTCTATCTAGGAACCTCGTTTTGTAGACCATTGACCTGATATCTTGATGACTATCTTGATGATTCTTGATGGAGTGCTCGAACCATGTGAGAGAGTCAGCCTGTCGCCTGTCAACACGGCACTAACTCGCACACCGCCCGAGTCCGGCCCGAGGCCGTGGAGGTACCGGCGGAGTCGTTGAAAGGAAGGCGTCCACAAGGTTCACCTGTGAAAGTATGTGTTCTTTTATTTTCTTCTCTCCGGTCGATCGTATCCACAGGCCCGAACACAACAGGGACGGCGTGCTAACCAAGTTTGCCCTCCAATTAGTGGCACTGAAAAAGTCCATGTTGCCTCCTTTAAGGAGAGCATCGTGCCAACGAGGCGTGGCTAAAGAACAAGCCCACGTCAGCCTGTCAGCCGTCGTCCCGAACTCAGAAACCTGCTCAAAAAGTATATAACTGTACATGCTCAGGTCGCCTGGGCCTATTCGGACTCGTCTTCATCCTCGTCACTTTCATCACTACCAACATCATAGAGCACGTGCTTGCTCTCAGCATGAGCTTGCCTGCGCCTGCACAGTTCCACGCTCTCAAGGGTGCAGGATGCGGAACTGCTACCGAGTCTATCACTGCCCATGTGCGTACATCGCGTACATTGAACTATGAGGGAACACAGCTGGCCAAAGGATGGCTCTTCATTCATCCTTCATCCATCTCGGTATGAGCTTGTTGAATGTCATCACAATAAATACCTATACACAAATGTACATAGGTGAGGATGGAAAATGATGGAAACATGAGAATAAGATAGAATAAGTGTGTTTTCTACGGCCTTTGTACACCTGGCTTAGAAAGTCCAGCCCAAGCCTGGCTTAGAATAACAGGTGGTCTGGGTGGTCCTTTAATCCCCAGTACTCAGCACATTTAAAAGTACAAGGATCAATCGGCTCAACAGGGCTCAACAGGTGGTACTAACGAATCACGAAATGGGCCGGGCACTGTAATACACGTCCGGATGAGGGCCCCGCTGCACCTTTGAAAAAGCACGTCCTCCAAGTCAAGTAACTCGAAAACCGCACTCAACCACTACTCCCAAGTGAACCAGTGTCCCGGCCATCTGCGCCTGGCGCGTCTGGGGGTCTTGTGAACAGCAGGAAGTGAAATCGGATTTGAACGAAGGCCTCAGAGACACAAGACCTGAAACAGCTGAACTTCACCTTGTCAAGTTCATGCGCGAAACAGCCGAAGATGTTTTGCAGTACCCGGTCAAGCCGAACAGTGGCGACCCATGTGGCCAAGCCGCTCGTCATTGCCAAGCTTCGGGGAGAAGGGAGCTGATCAACTGGAAGAGCTTCAGGTTCTGATCGACCGGAAGAGCTGCACAATTCAACGCGATGCGTTACGCAATCCACCTCTAATCTATCTCCGCTATGCATCCCCATGCCTTTTAACCATCCTGACATCGCTGACAAAATTATCAAATGTGTGCCTACCAGCACTGAAGTTTCAAGAGGTTCACTCAGCAACTCTTGGCCAAGGGACCTTCATTGAGCTTCGGTGGATTTTCCATGTAAGACTTCACTCTCTCCCGCACCTTGGCCGCTGAGTGGCGTGTTTATTTTCGTATTTTTGGGGTGGCCAAGGCGGGCACACACACATCCAAAAGAGTGACAGGAGCACAAAAACTGAAAAAAGTCTCAGCGGCACAACTGCAATTCCAAGAAACATGTGGCCAGCCATAGGATTCTTGCTCTTGCAAGACGGCTTGTGCTTTCGCGTCCTGGGGTGGCATCCAGTACAGCCCCTTGTGTCATCTTGTCTCATTGCTTAGAAGAGCAACAGCTTAGAATCTGGAACAGGACGTCCATTTACATCATTTACCATCCATTTGCCTCTGTGTTCAACACCCCGATCAGCCAACTCGATTGGGCCACACATGCATAGCAGCAGCACAGTTGATGTGCTAGCCACTGCAATTTCGGCGCTCCTGTGGGAAGTAGGCCATCAGCAATTTGCAACCCATCACGGTTGCCTCATCACCTGTGATCCAACCCCCCTCTGCGCAGGTCTGCAGGGCTTTGCAAGTCCTCAAGTACAAATTTCTACAAATATGTTGATTTTGATATGAAATGACTATAAATGGACTAAGTGACCATACACATCTATACACTGCTGCGATCACGTAGATATTCTCACCATATGTGGCCATGGTTGCTCCCAAAACCTGGTGGGCATGGATGTCGTCCAAGGCACGTCGCTCTTCTGCCAGCTCGAGCAGTGCAGTCAAGAGCCCCTCCTGAATCTTGAGATGTTTCTCCGAAATCAAAAGCCGAAATAACACGAATGTGTTATGTGTTGTTATGAATTGAGGTTACATAATTCTGCAGTGTTGGTTGGAGTGGGTTACTTGAGAGATACTCCGTGATACTCCAAAAACAAGTCTGTGAATTCGAACTGTTTGGGCGTTCATGATTTTCAGCAAACCACATTTGGCAACTGTTCCATCACCATGATCTCCTATATATTATCCTCTCTTCCTGGAAGTGGAGCTTTGCAAAGATCATTGTTCAATCTTCTTACCCCATAAATATGTGCGAACGACGAGCCGCAGTATGTTCATCTGAAGCCATACATGTTGAGGCACTTCCACATACCTTTCTACAAAATCACATGATGCTATACCTCCAAATGAATTTTCGTCTCCTGTCGTCACGGGGGAACACCAATCTTTCTGCCAACATGGGTTGAGAAACGAACCGACATCTTGAGACCTTCGTAAATGCTAGGAGTACTGAGTTACTGTGAACTCAAAACAAATATCAACTTATCATAACTTATCATCTACAGTAATGAAATCCACCTAGGACCTATTGGGACCTCCTTCGCCACCTGCTTTTTTGGTGTCCCGGACGAGTCTCCTGGAGCATCTCAGAGACCTTGGCAGCCATAGCCCAGTTAGCCACCACCGCCTCAAGCACCTGACTGAGAGCTCTGAGGACTTTGGTGAGTTTGGGTGAGTTTAATTTGCCAATTAGGGTAGGTGGCAGGTGGTCCTTGCAGGACGGCTTTCAAAATTTCTTTCAGCATTTGGATTGCATTTGGCTGTTTCCAGAGGTGAAATGGTCCCCACGAAGGAGAAGATATTGGATGCAGCAGTCAAAGATAGCTCGGCTGCCGCATTGATGCATACGGCCACGACAAACAGGTCAGTGACGAAGCACCAAACATCACCAAACCAACGAACGAAACATAGTGCTACATGTTCAGTGGAGCGGCCCCCCCAGCCCTTTACCACTTCACCTTCGTCGCATCTGCCAGGGTGTCGTGCACATGGCGCCAGTTGGAAGCTTCACCTGCGGTGATGCGCGGACCGTTCAGCCGCGCACGGCGGAGGCTGTTATCCATAATGATCCACTTGGGGTCTCTGATCCCTCTTAGTAGTGTCCATGTTCCTAGTAGTAAGACCAGGAGCCCCGTTCGTAGCGTCCGATCGCTCCGTTCGTAGCGTCCATGTTCTTGGTTTCTGATGGTTTCTTGGACCCGGATGCACCGTCGGTGCATCGAACCATATCGAACCTACCTGAGCTGTCGGCGTTTGGACGTTTCGCAGGGTCGGACATGGGGAAGGGCTTCGTGAGGCGCACTGCACAACAGAGGCTTCACGAATTGGCGTTGCCTGTGCGAAATCCGAGAGCCTAAGCCAGGGGCTCTGCGAGCCTTTGCCACAAATAATGTATCACACAAACTGTTTCGCAAACATTTGGTGAGTTATAGTTATAGTCTACTAATCTAACCCTTATCATTCAAAAACAAGTGCGCTATTCTACTGAGACTTCATAAGATTGGACATGTTCTGACAACTCCGATTTGATATAATTGATCAGTCTTGTTCACAGTTCACCTATTAATTATATATATATTTATATATATACAGTAAGAGTAGAACACAGGAAAACATGAGAAGGGTAAACGACTGTTGCCCACGTGAAGTCGCTGTCCCATTCGGCCAAGGATCGCAGCAAGAAGCATTCCTTCTTAAAGGCATTGGTCAAGGTGCCAACCACGGTATCCGCCTCAAAGGGCAAAGACCCAGTAAGGTTCCAAGAAAGCAACATGATACAACATGTATCCAAGCTGTAGGAGGTCATTTTTTCGGCCGCGAGCGAGACCGCGAGCGAGACCGCGTCCTGATATTATGCAGCTCTAATTGTTGCAATTGCAGGACAATTTTGGACTACTTTAAGATATCTTCATTCAAAAAATAGAAGAAAACGAATGGTCTTGCATGTGCCATGAATGACATCTTGAAGTCTCTAGATGAACACACTGAAGAGTATACCGTAACATCCGTACACACCTTAGGGCCAGGCATGCTTCTGG